GGTCGTAGCAGACATGTTGAAGTTTAGTTAAAATATAGTGCGATTCGTCTTCCTCGACATGCACAACAACATCATATTACCCGACTCCCATACACCAACCAGTTGGCGACACACAGTGATCAAGGCCCTTCACAAGGCTGGAGACTCCCAACAACCAAAGAACTACCAACGAATTGGCAGCACCCCATGCAGCACAAGCTCTTCTCAAAGCTACTCTATAACCGGCTACACCCACTGCGAGGCAGCAGCCAGAGCATTGACCAAGCAGGTTTTCAACCCCACCGCAGCACCACCCAGAACTTATTCACATCATCGCTACTACAGGAGATAGCGGACGAGTGGCAACTTCCTTTGTGGTCAGCCCCGCCGTAGATTCCCAGGGAACCTTCGACAGCATCACACATTCGAGCATTTGGGAGTCACTTGCCGAGCAAAATGCACCCAGGTCGTACATCAGACGCTTGTCCCAGTTGTACACAGGGCAGACAGCGTCTGTTCAGACAGACCGCACGAGCAGACCGCTCAACGCTTTACGGGGGTCGAAGAATGGGGGCCCCTCAGTTCATTACTCTTCAATTGCGTATCAGAGAGCATCATACGGCGAGCCAGAGCCAAATGGACAGTGCGAAATTGCGGTCTCAAGCTCCAGCTGCATATGAATGACCAACCGAGCAATTCACGCTCCGCCGACGACATCCTCTGACTAGCCCGATCACTCGACCTTGTCAAGGTTATGAGTTCTGATTTGATCACCGAGGCGGGCAAGGCGGTATCGTAATTGCATCCTGAGAAAACAGAGGTCTCGCACAACGGCAACAGACCACCACGCGGCAAACACGCACCCGACAGCGTGAACGTGCACGGCATGACGATTGAGGTTATGCCGCTTTACCGCGCCACGAGCTATCTCGGACGACATCTGCAGCACAGCACGCCCCACTCAACCGAAGTAGAACATCGCATTGCCACAACGTGGCGGGAGGCCCACGCACTCCAGCAAAAATTGACTGGGCCAACATATTCACAATCAGACCGTCTTCGCCTCTTCGACAGGACAGTCCCGCCCACTATCCTCTGTGGTTGCGAAGCCTGGACGCTTACGACCGAATTTCAGAATCGACTGCGGCGCACACAACGGCATATGCTTGGCGTGATAGTCAAGGTGCCCAAGCGCATTGTCACAACCAGCACCCAGCCTGCACCACAAGCCGCTGAGGCCAGCCACAGCAAAGACGACCAACACGACAACGCCCAGCAGCACTCCGACGACGACGACGGCGGACGTGACATTGACAGCACGCCAGGTACTGCATCATGTGCCTATGATGCTAAAAGTGCGGAATATTATTTGGAGCAGTGGGTTTCTTGGGTAAAGCGCGCCACCCGCAAGGCTGAGGCGGCAATGGAGAAGTTACAGGTCACAGATGGGGTTTCCAAAACACGATTGCGAAGATGGCGCTAGATACGGGATCGTGCCAACACCGGCGAGCACGAATGGACGCGACAGGTATTCCAATGGACTCCAGAACGCGACCCCGCTTACACAGCGAAGCGGAGAATGGGGGGACCCAAATCCAGACGAATTGACGACGTCCGACATTATATGGTTGTTACGATGGGATGAGATGACATCAGGATTTCAGCTATTCTGCGTTTTGCGTCGACAGCAGTGTGGAACAATCTGGCACCATAATTGTGCCGCATACGACAGATGAGCGAGCCAAGCGAATTCTGCAATATCCCGGCGCTCCAGCGCCGCACTTGCAGCACCTTATACGGATTCCCACCACCGCCGTCAAGTGACGACACCCAGTCTTCCAGCTCCAACTCTCGGCCTCCACCTATCGACTCCCGATCTTCCACATCCAATTGTAGACCTCCCCCCATCGTTTTTAGCTCACCTGACTGACCTCCAGCTTCCGACTTCCGATCCCCACCCAACAGTTGACGCCATCCAGTCTTCCACTTCCAACTTTCGACCCCCACCTGCCGGCCTCCAGCTCCACGAGTATCTTATTCAGCATCAAGGGGAATATGTCAGAAACTACCGTGCTGGCGATTGTTCTGAGCAAGATTGAGCAGGATTTCTAACCGGGCCTTCTGTTATGATGCTCCGGCGCCCCGGCGCCGCATCTGCAGCACCTTAGACGGTGCCTGTGTGTGCAGGCGTGTTTCGTGCTTCGTGTGTTGGGATCCAACCATGCAGGTTCATGAGAGACCCTCGGCTTTCCAGCGGGCATCCGCCGCACTTGCCACAGAGGCTCACGGCATTTCATGCGCAGGGAAGTGCTTTTCAAGGGTCCGACGATAACCTAGGTTATCGGGCCCGCCCCCCCCCTAATCTCCCAGAAAACCGGACCTAATCATTTGCACACATCCGGAAAAGGGGGCAGCAGTTTTGGTTCGCGCGGGTATACGTGGGGCTGCCCCAAGCGAAAGGGTGAGGTTATCGGCCGGCCCCCCCCCCCACCCTGGATGAGCCGGGCGATCGTCGAGACATAGGAAATCATCTCCCGTTGGAGCTGGGACGAGAGGCGAGAGTTCAGGAGGGGAGAAAACACACAGACACAATTAATCGTCGATTCCCCAGAAAATATTAGAAAATATGGGAAGTGGGGGGGAAGACAGCCCGAAAATATGGGGAAAATATGGGGAATCCTCTATTTGTGTCTATTAATTTGTGTGTCCCAGGGCCCCTTCCAGGGTGTCCACTGCAAAATCACTGGCCCGATCCTCCCGCCGCGCAGGTCAACCACGCAGGGCGGGCACCGGCGGCCCTGCGCGCCGCGGCCGCGGCGGGTGCAGCGGGCCCAGAGGCCTGGGCGGCCAGCTGGGTGGACGCGGAGATCGCGAGGAGCCCCGTGGTGCTGTTCGGCAACTCCGCTTGCGCGGCCTCTCGTGCCGTGGAGAGCGCGCTGCGGGACGCGGGCGTGCACGCGCAGGTGGTGTTCGGCAGTAAATCATGGGGGGAGGTTCTATGACATCGCACTTCCAGCTTCAGAGTGCACTAGCGTCGACTCACGTCTCGTAGTAATAGATGAGACTGCACGTGCTAGCGTCGATATGCATCTATTAGATCGATTCGCTTCGATGTAGCGTCGTTTAGAGTCGATCAGCGTCGGTTCACTAAAACCAGCAACATGGTATGGGAGGCTCCCATGAGTTGCCACAGAAGGTGGTGGAGGTGGACCGCATGGCGCTGGCAGCTGGCGGGTCCTGGCCATCGCTCGTGTCCAGACACTTGGCGGTTCGGGCTGGCTGCGACGAGGGCGGGGTGCTGCCAGCACTCTTCGTCGGCGGCAAGCACGTGCGCGAGGGTTCCCAGCCTTTCACGAGCATCGAGTTCATGCGGCGGTGTTCGCTCGCTGGGGCGGTGAGTCTGCATCCAGTGGACACAGTTGCGAGCGAGAACTGGTCTGTGATCGAGGCTGGGGCTCGAAAGGGCCGCGTTCGACCGCCGAAAGACTTCAATGGACGCAGATGGTATATGGACAAGCCTGACATGGCGGAATACCCAAACGAGCACAACGATCTTGCGCGCATTGAGTATGGGAAGTATTTAAGCGCCCCTCAGATGGGTTGGTACCAGCCAACCGCCGCGGGAGAGGAGCTCATGCGTCAACGAACGCTCTTGGACGCGCCTCACAAGCCCGACGAGAGCGTCGGCGACGTACACAAGAAGCGCCCTGACTTCTCTTACATGGACCTCGCGTTGACAAGGGATTACGGAAGCTTTGGACGTGCCTCGCGGAAAAGAAACCTGGTGGACAAGGCGAAGTTCGACAGCGTCACGCGCGAGATGTGTGTCCGCGAGGGCCTATCCAGGGATGAGCTCCTCTGGGTCCTGACCCTCAATCGGAAGCAGCTGGCCTCGGAGCTGACCCTGCGGCACCTCCGCGACCTGGTCGTCCCCGCCGTGGACATCGAGAACCTGCGGGACGCCCTCCGAGACGCGCTGCGCGCCGAGCGCAGGTACAGCCCCACGCGGCACGTCCGGCCCGGGAGCGCGGCGGAGCTGACCGCAGACCAGCTCGCGGAGGAGATCAAGGCTCGGCGGCGGGGCACGGGCTGCGAAATCCGTGGCCGCTAAAAAATCGACCTCCGGGAAGTTGTCTTCGTCCTTCCGGGAAGAAGCCCGCTGGCTGTGTCGCGTGCCGCGCCTCCTTCCGGGCAGTTGCTTCCTCCTTCCGGGAGGGCCGCTTTGGCGGCCCTCGGTCTCATAGCAGCCCTCGCCCAGCTTTCTCGACAGGCCGACTCCGGCACCGTGCTGCTCGTGGCGGTCGTCAGCCCGCGGAGCCCGCCCTCGCTCCGCCTGGCCCCGGAGGTGGGCCGAGCGGCCGCCCGCCTGCAGAAGGCGGCCCGGATCGTGGCCGTGGACGGCCTGGTGGCCCCGGACGTGTGCCGCCACTTCAAGGCCGCGGGGGCGGCGAGCCCGCGCCCCACCCGGACTCTCAGAGGAGGGAAGGGTACCCCTATATAGCTCCACCCTGGCCTCGTTTTCGCCTTTTTGGGCCTCCTGGGAGGCCCTCGTCGTCACCGCTGGATTCGCCTTGAAGTCCTGGTCGGAGCGCACCCTGGGAGAGGTCCGGCGAGTAGCGGTATCGGTACCTTTTGGCTTCCCCAGACTCTCCGGGTCTCCCAAACGGGGTCCCAGCAGATGGGGTCGGAAGATCGCGCAGCATCGCCGATGCATCGCTGATGCATCGGTCATCATGCATCGGCGACGTCGGCGATGCCTCGGCCCGTTGGCGTGGAGAAGATCGGCTCCACGTCCAGCCGCATCAGCGATGCATCGGCGATGCTGCGCGATCTTCCGACCCCATCTGCTGGGACCCCGTTTGGGAGACCCGGAGAGTCTGGGGAAGCCAAAAGGTACCGATACCGCTACTCGCCGGACCTCTCCCAGGGTGCGCTCCGACCAGGACTTCAAGGCGAATCCAGCGGTGACGACGAGGGCCTCCCAGGAGGCCCAAAAAGGCGAAAACGAGGCCAGGGTGGAGCTATATAGGGGTACCCTTCCCTCCTCTGAGAGTCCGGGTGGGGCGCGGGCTCGCCGCCCCCGCGGCCTTGAAGTGGCGGCACACGTCCGGGGCCACCAGGCCGTCCACGGCCACGATCCGGGCCGCCTTCTGCAGGCGGGCGGCCGCTCGGCCCACCTCCGGGGCCAGGCGGAGCGAGGGCGGGCTCCGCGGGCTGACGACCGCCACGAGCAGCACGGTGCCGGAGTCGGCCTGTCGAGAAAGCTGGGCGAGGGCTGCTATGAGACCGAGGGCCGCCAAAGCGGCCCTCCCGGAAGGAGGAAGCAACTGCCCGGAAGGAGGCGCGGCACGCGACACAGCCAGCGGGCTTCTTCCCGGAAGGACGAAGACAACTTCCCGGAGGTCGATTTTTTAGCGGCCACGGATTTCGCAGCCCGTGCCCCGCCGCCGAGCCTTGATCTCCTCCGCGAGCTGGTCTGCGGTCAGCTCCGCCGCGCTCCCGGGCCGGACGTGCCGCGTGGGGCTGTACCTGCGCTCGGCGCGCAGCGCGTCTCGGAGGGCGTCCCGCAGGTTCTCGATGTCCACGGCGGGGACGACCAGGTCGCGGAGGTGCCGCAGGGTCAGCTCCGAGGCCAGCTGCTTCCGATTGAGGGTCAGGACCCAGAGGAGCTCATCCCTGGATAGGCCCTCGCGGACACACATCTCGCGCGTGACGCTGTCGAACTTCGCCTTGTCCACCAGGTTTCTTTTCCGCGAGGCACGTCCAAAGCTTCCGTAATCCCTTGTCAACGCGAGGTCCATGTAAGAGAAGTCAGGGCGCTTCTTGTGTACGTCGCCGACGCTCTCGTCGGGCTTGTGAGGCGCGTCCAAGAGCGTTCGTTGACGCATGAGCTCCTCTCCCGCGGCGGTTGGCTGGTACCAACCCATCTGAGGGGCGCTTAAATACTTCCCATACTCAATGCGCGCAAGATCGTTGTGCTCGTTTGGGTATTCCGCCATGTCAGGCTTGTCCATATACCATCTGCGTCCATTGAAGTCTTTCGGCGGTCGAACGCGGCCCTTTCGAGCCCCAGCCTCGATCACAGACCAGTTCTCGCTCGCAACTGTGTCCACTGGATGCAGACTCACCGCCCCAGCGAGCGAACACCGCCGCATGAACTCGATGCTCGTGAAAGGCTGGGAACCCTCGCGCACGTGCTTGCCGCCGACGAAGAGTGCTGGCAGCACCCCGCCCTCGTCGCAGCCAGCCCGAACCGCCAAGTGTCTGGACACGAGCGATGGCCAGGACCCGCCAGCTGCCAGCGCCATGCGGTCCACCTCCACCACCTTCTGTGGCAACTCATGGGAGCCTCCCATACCATGTTGCTGGTTTTAGTGAACCGACGCTGATCGACTCTAAACGACGCTACATCGAAGCGAATCGATCTAATAGATGCATATCGACGCTAGCACGTGCAGTCTCATCTATTACTACGAGACGTGAGTCGACGCTAGTGCACTCTGAAGCTGGAAGTGCGATGTCATAGAACCTCCCCCCATGATTTACTGCCGAACACCACCTGCGCGTGCACGCCCGCGTCCCGCAGCGCGCTCTCCACGGCACGAGAGGCCGCGCAAGCGGAGTTGCCGAACAGCACCACGGGGCTCCTCGCGATCTCCGCGTCCACCCAGCTGGCCGCCCAGGCCTCTGGGCCCGCTGCACCCGCCGCGGCCGCGGCGCGCAGGGCCGCCGGTGCCCGCCCTGCGTGGTTGACCTGCGCGGCGGGAGGATCGGGCCAGTGATTTTGCAGTGGACACCCTGGAAGGGGCCCTGGGACACACAAATTAATAGACACAAATAGAGGATTCCCCATATTTTCCCCATATTTTCGGGCTGTCTTCCCCCCCACTTCCCATATTTTCTAATATTTTCTGGGGAATCGACGATTAATTGTGTCTGTGTGTTTTCTCCCCTCCTGAACTCTCGCCTCTCGTCCCAGCTCCAACGGGAGATGATTTCCTATGTCTCGACGATCGCCCGGCTCATCCAGGGTGGGGGGGGGGGCCGGCCGATAACCTCACCCTTTCGCTTGGGGCAGCCCCACGTATACCCGCGCGAACCAAAACTGCTGCCCCCTTTTCCGGATGTGTGCAAATGATTAGGTCCGGTTTTCTGGGAGATTAGGGGGGGGGCGGGCCCGATAACCTAGGTTATCGTCGGACCCTTGAAAAGCACTTCCCTGCGCATGAAATGCCGTGAGCCTCTGTGGCAAGTGCGGCGGATGCCCGCTGGAAAGCCGAGGGTCTCTCATGAACCTGCATGGTTGGATCCCAACACACGAAGCACGAAACACGCCTGCACACACAGGCACCGTCTAAGGTGCTGCAGATGCGGCGCCGGGGCGCCGGAGCATCATAACAGAAGGCCCGGTTAGAAATCCTGCTCAATCTTGCTCAGAACAATCGCCAGCACGGTAGTTTCTGACATATTCCCCTTGATGCTGAATAAGATACTCGTGGAGCTGGAGGCCGGCAGGTGGGGGTCGAAAGTTGGAAGTGGAAGACTGGATGGCGTCAACTGTTGGGTGGGGATCGGAAGTCGGAAGCTGGAGGTCAGTCAGGTGAGCTAAAAACGATGGGGGGAGGTCTACAATTGGATGTGGAAGATCGGGAGTCGATAGGTGGAGGCCGAGAGTTGGAGCTGGAAGACTGGGTGTCGTCACTTGACGGCGGTGGTGGGAATCCGTATAAGGTGCTGCAAGTGCGGCGCTGGAGCGCCGGGATATTGCAGAATTCGCTTGGCTCGCTCATCTGTCGTATGCGGCACAATTATGGTGCCAGATTGTTCCACACTGCTGTCGACGCAAAACGCAGAATAGCTGAAATCCTGATGTCATCTCATCCCATCGTAACAACCATATAATGTCGGACGTCGTCAATTCGTCTGGATTTGGGTCCCCCCATTCTCCGCTTCGCTGTGTAAGCGGGGTCGCGTTCTGGAGTCCATTGGAATACCTGTCGCGTCCATTCGTGCTCGCCGGTGTTGGCACGATCCCGTATCTAGCGCCATCTTCGCAATCGTGTTTTGGAAACCCCATCTGTGACCTGTAACTTCTCCATTGCCGCCTCAGCCTTGCGGGTGGCGCGCTTTACCCAAGAAACCCACTGCTCCAAATAATATTCCGCACTTTTAGCATCATAGGCACATGATGCAGTACCTGGCGTGCTGTCAATGTCACGTCCGCCGTCGTCGTCGTCGGAGTGCTGCTGGGCGTTGTCGTGTTGGTCGTCTTTGCTGTGGCTGGCCTCAGCGGCTTGTGGTGCAGGCTGGGTGCTGGTTGTGACAATGCGCTTGGGCACCTTGACTATCACGCCAAGCATATGCCGTTGTGTGCGCCGCAGTCGATTCTGAAATTCGGTCGTAAGCGTCCAGGCTTCGCAACCACAGAGGATAGTGGGCGGGACTGTCCTGTCGAAGAGGCGAAGACGGTCTGATTGTGAATATGTTGGCCCAGTCAATTTTTGCTGGAGTGCGTGGGCCTCCCGCCACGTTGTGGCAATGCGATGTTCTACTTCGGTTGAGTGGGGCGTGCTGTGCTGCAGATGTCGTCCGAGATAGCTCGTGGCGCGGTAAAGCGGCATAACCTCAATCGTCATGCCGTGCACGTTCACGCTGTCGGGTGCGTGTTTGCCGCGTGGTGGTCTGTTGCCGTTGTGCGAGACCTCTGTTTTCTCAGGATGCAATTACGATACCGCCTTGCCCGCCTCGGTGATCAAATCAGAACTCATAACCTTGACAAGGTCGAGTGATCGGGCTAGTCAGAGGATGTCGTCGGCGGAGCGTGAATTGCTCGGTTGGTCATTCATATGCAGCTGGAGCTTGAGACCGCAATTTCGCACTGTCCATTTGGCTCTGGCTCGCCGTATGATGCTCTCTGATACGCAATTGAAGAGTAATGAACTGAGGGGCCCCCATTCTTCGACCCCCGTAAAGCGTTGAGCGGTCTGCTCGTGCGGTCTGTCTGAACAGACGCTGTCTGCCCTGTGTACAACTGGGACAAGCGTCTGATGTACGACCTGGGTGCATTTTGCTCGGCAAGTGACTCCCAAATGCTCGAATGTGTGATGCTGTCGAAGGTTCCCTGGGAATCTACGGCGGGGCTGACCACAAAGGAAGTTGCCACTCGTCCGCTATCTCCTGTAGTAGCGATGATGTGAATAAGTTCTGGGTGGTGCTGCGGTGGGGTTGAAAACCTGCTTGGTCAATGCTCTGGCTGCTGCCTCGCAGTGGGTGTAGCCGGTTATAGAGTAGCTTTGAGAAGAGCTTGTGCTGCATGGGGTGCTGCCAATTCGTTGGTAGTTCTTTGGTTGTTGGGAGTCTCCAGCCTTGTGAAGGGCCTTGATCACTGTGTGTCGCCAACTGGTTGGTGTATGGGAGTCGGGTAATATGATGTTGTTGTGCATGTCGAGGAAGACGAATCGCACTATATTTTAACTAAACTTCAACATGTCTGCTACGACCCCAGATAGTCAGCAGCTCTCTTAGAACGTAGTCGGCCAAATGCGTTCTTTAGCTCGTCAACAATAAATGATGGGATTGCGTCAGATTGGTCGTCTCGTTCGTTGTTATGGTTGCTGGCGTTTCTTCTGTTGGCGTTGAGGTCCTGGCATACATTCGCAAACAAAATATGCAATGGATTCTCGATCGTGCCGTGTTTCCCCTTCATTGTCGATCATGCTCGTGCTGTACGTTCGTTTCCTTATACTCTTGATGCCGCTGATGTGTTTCAAATCCCTGTGCTCAGGCAAGATATGATCCATCGTGACCCCCGCACTACTCTTTTGATAAGCTGGATCGCCTTGCGGATGTCTTTGTTGAGCTGGTTCCTTGTTGCTGTCTCGTGGGTTGGTGTGTGACGTCTTTGCTGGAGTCGTTGAATCAGTTTGTCGTTAGTTTGGTGGCTGGTTGTAACTGTAGTAACACATCTCGGATCGACTTTTCGGTTCGCTCACATTGTAGTTGGAGCCTCGGTTCTTGCAGAAACATGCCGAACTGATTCGTGGGTGAGTGCTTGTATTGCGTCAGGTCCGCTGGAGGCCATGCTGGTCGTGGTTGTCGTCGGCGTTGTTGTTGTCGCCTGCTGGTGGACGGCCTGTGCTGGTTGGTCGTATTGATAACACATGACGGCCGCAAAGCCCGATGGTCGGAACCCATGTCGATCTCGCAAATCGACTCGCAACCTTTGACTGTTCGCCACAGCTTCTTGTTGACCAGAAAGTAGTCGATCTGTCTGCTTGTCCTCTGGGGGGATGTGTATGTGATCAGCTTGCTGTCTTGCTTATAGAAAAATGTGCTGGCCAAGCGGAGTCGTTGATTGTATGCCCATTGCTTTCATCATTGTCCGCGAGCGCTCATGGGGCCCATTCCATGCTGTCCCAAAATGCATTGTGAATAATCTCGCGTAGCTTGCCCAGCGCGCGCATTGCGTCAATGCCATCATTCGTGCTGTATGCTACTGCGCCTCTTGGCAAAGCTGGGATAATGTGTCATACATGGCTTGACTGTGTGTTGTCGCCGTACCCACTGTGAGGAAAGCACGCGCTGACAACACGTAACTTCGTGGATGATCTTTTGGTATCAACAGAAACAACTCTTTCGTTGTCGGGATGGTCGGAAATTATGTGTTTGACCGAATGTTTGTACATTAAGATGCCGACTCCACGCTGGTAGCCTTTGAACCTGGATCCCAAGCAGGGATGCCCGCTTTCATTTGTCCAGAAATCCGTAGCGTCGGTCCTCCATGTCCCGTTCAACGCAACGGCATCCCAATCCAGGCCATCGAGTTCTGAGAGTAGTTCTGTGACTCTGTCTCCAGATGAAAGTTGTGATGAAATTGTATGTCATTGTTGTTTTCTCCACTGTCAGATTGTCACCAACGCTGGAATCTGGGGCTGCCAGTGGGGAGCGCCGCGCTGGAGCCGAAGGTATTGTGTTGGAGCCGGGGGAAATTGGATGAGGGTGGTGGTTTTGAAGCTGGAAATTCTCATCCTGACGAGGGATGTGATGCCGGCCATAGTCGTTGCCGCTGGTGGGGAGCATCGCTCCAGAGTCGGACGTGGCGCACCCTTGAGGTAAGATGCAGAATGGGATATCGCCAGAAGCAGTGATGTAGTTCTGTCGTCTGCTCCGTCCTCCCGCTCCTCCTCGTCCTGCTTCCTTCCGCACTCGCGGGCCGTAATGCGTGCCATGTTCGTTGCGTGCTGCATGCCCCACACGTCCTCCTCCTCCTCCTCTTGACAGACTTGAACGACGGGATTGGCGAGACTCGAGCGGACGGAGTGTGGTCATCAGTGAACAGTCCCGTGGTTGGCACACCCAATCGAGAGTCATTTGTGAATGGTGCAGGACATCGCATGCGGCAGCTGATGGAAACCCACGAGTTTGTTGCAGCGAACACGTTCGGCTCCGAGATTGAATCTACCTTATTCGGAAATGCTGGGAATTCGAGAATTGATTACCTTTTTCTTCCACAAGCTATGCATACAGAAGTGGTATCATGTCGTGCACATCTTAGGTTAGGCGCCAAACTGCAGGCTGCTCGAGGAGTGTCGCCGCGTGATCATGTCCCTGTGGTAGCAATTATCCAATACGCCAAGCATGGTGTCGAGACGGAGATGGTACACAAAGAGGGCTGGGATTATGATCGTTTGATGCTATCGTTGCGGGAAGGTCGTGGGCGTGCTGAGTTCTTGGAGGCTCTCAAGACTAAGTTCGACGGCCTTCAAATGCAGTGGTTTCGTGACAACGCCGGCCCTGACGAGATCTTCGAGGTGCTCGAGAGATGTCTGCTGGAAGCGGGCCAGACGTGCTATGCGAAGGAGCGCGAACTTCGACCTGAGTATTCCGATGACTGTCTTCGTAGACGCACTCTTCTACAACAACGAGTTGAACTTCGAAGTGGTAAGTTTCAAGCTACACCAGAGATCGCCCTCCAGATTGATCGTGAGTTGAAGGAGCTGACGCACCAGTTGGTTTTGGACAGGAAAAGGGCTTCCCGCAGGCTTCGCAGCCAGCTCACATCCGAGGCTGTGGATTTGTGGCATCGTGGCCGTACAGCTGAAGGAATGCGACTGGCTCGACGTGCTGCCCGTACCCGTTACGGGCCCAAGCGACGAGACGGCCGTCTTGTTCGCTGTGCGCCGCCCAGTCGTGAAGCGTGGCTTCAGGTGTGGAGGAGGAGTGGACCTGAGGGGGGAATGGAGGTGCAGGTGGACTCTTGGGAGAACTGGAGGGAGTCGAGGGTGGACACGGGGACGTACTACGCCGATGTGACGGATGAGGAGGTTTTAGAGACAGTGAAGGAGGACGTTCAGGAGATTCGTAGGTATGCACGGCGCGCCTCAAAAAGGAAGGCTGTGCCTGCAGGTACGGCACCACTCGAGACTTGGCATCAGTGCATGTGGCCCAACTATCGTGTGCGTACGCGTGCTGGGGTAGGAGCTGATCAGAAGCTGATCTCACCACAAGGCTTCTGGTTTATGCTTGGGCTTGGGTTATCAAAGGTGAGGGAATACCAGGAGGTTCCGCTTTACTGGAATAAGTCTCGGGGAGCGAATATACCCAAGAAACTGGAAGAGGGCCCTAAAGGGTCCGAGTGGTACACGTCCTGCCCTTTGTGGGCAAAGCATTATTTGCGAAAAAAACTCAAGATAATTCCCACGGTGGCTGATCATGGATTTGTCAAACATCGTCGTCGTGAAAACGCAGTACTTATTACATTAATTACGGGATGGAGGGCTAGAAGGATGGGGCTAACATATTGTAACACGTTCAAGGATATGAGTAACGCATTCGCCAGTTCCATCTGGTCTGAGTTGGACCAGACTGTTTCCCTAGCGGCTGCCGAACATGATCAAGGCTTGTGTCGGCAGAGGTACCGCTCGGCCATTATTGAGCTTGACGCACAGGAGGGCCCCCTTCATGTGCGACCACGCATCGGAGGACCCATGGGAGATCCCTTTACAGTACAGGGCTTCCTGGGCACGTTTTCACGGGCAGTATTGCAGTGGAGCTACTCACTTTTTCGATGTGATCCCTCTGCTCGAGAGTTATTTGCATCTTTCTCTGGCCTGGTGGCCGACTTGAGTCTCACAAAGTACGCGGATGACTTACAGAAAATGATCTTGGTGGAGCCTGGTAGTACGTTACGGGACTTTCTAGATAAATTAACGGAGGTGGATGGGCTACTTGATGAGGCTTTACAGCCGTATGGATATGGGCAAAATTGCAGTAAGCAAGAGATGTTGTTTCACTTCGCACATAGTGATTATCACGCACGTCGCGCACTTCGATGTAATCGTGCTTCTCTCCAGGAGACAGTATCGGATAACGCTTGCACGCTTGCGGGCCTTGAGCTAGAAACGCGGCCCGACACCCTGGCGAACGGCGCTGCCCGGGCTCCCCGGGGAGAGTGGTGGTTGTTGGGCGGCGCTTTCCCGCCACTCACGCCTTGCGTAGCAGCAGGGGGGGGAAGGGGTGTGTGACACCACTACCTGTCCCTCGTCGGCTGTCGGGCCCAGACCTGCTCTCGCCGGGCAGTTCTGAGTCGCAGCGACTGGGGGCCGGGCGCCGGCTCCGAGGGCCGGGCGCCGGTGCGCGCACCCCGGACGCTGTCAACCTGCGAAATGCGAAAATGTGATTGTGTTCGCTACTTGGGGCAGTTTCTGAAGTCCAGGGACACTGCACATCAGGAGGTTACGAGGTGTTGCGAAATGGCACAGAAAGCTTT